CCCTACACAATTAAAGGATCCTTTCCTTCTTGGAAAAGTACTGAAACACACTGCAATGAAGTTACCTCACCATCTTTTTGTTCATCTGAACAGAATAAGCTCTTCAAGTTGCTACTTCTTAGATTGCAGTCCCTCATCTGCCCTCTTGTCCCCACCACCACCCCTCCCTTCCCATCCTGATTTACCTTAAATTGGGTGGCCATTTTGAACCCAATCTAACCTCCTCCTAGCCCCCCCACCCCACCCCGATGGTGCAGTTGTGTTATTACCTTGTTTCTAGATGTATGACCTTGAACGTGGATGCATGAAACAGCATTTTGTTTGCATGGACTCAACCTACAAAATGATTTGTCACTCTGTCTTGCTGAGCTTTGCATGCATCTATGCTGCTGTAAAAGATGTAACTGCTGCTTGTGTGGACACACTCCACCTACCATTTAACTTACCAATTACATTTGTAATCTCCTGGAACAAAAAGGTTACTTTGGCAAAACCTGTTTTCTATAAAGCTGTGTTAATTGCTGTTGTTTATATTTCAGCCCTTTAATTCTTTGCTATGTATTGTGTGAACGCACACATGTTGCCTTTTTTTCTGCCCAGCTTTCACATTTGTTTGATTCTCTAATTTTTCAATAAATAAAAAGCTTATTTCACCTTATGCTTCTGTGTTTTTCCTGTATAATTCCTGAAATGTTATAAATAAGTTAAATTATTACAGTATGTTTCGGAAATGTTCCTTTGGATAAATTCTTAGAGTGCTTCCATGGTCAAAGTTGGTTGATAAAACGGTGCCTTTGTTTAGTGGAGTTTGTTTCTTTTACTTACGTACTGCTTTGTCTGCCAGATTTATTGTAAGGCAGCCAAGTTCTTTCTAGCAATTGCCCTAAAATTGAAGAAAAATATGGACAACTCTAACTTGTTGTATGAGACACTTTATTCTTTTCTGGCAGCTGGTATATGTATATGGAGTACAGATACTTGGATTGATTAATGTTCATTCCATTTGCATTACATATGATGTAGTGATTATATCCATAAATAGTTCCAATAATTTTTGCTTTGAGTGGTTGTATCCAGTCTGTGTATGCATTCTATGGAAGGGAAATTAGTTTAAATGATGTGACACCAGGTGATTTTTGTTTTGTGAGCTTAAGAAATACACAAATTGTGACCATTCAGCATGTTGCTATGGTGATTAGTGAATGCCCCAGCCTGTGTGTTCATCTACTAGCTAGCTTTAAAGTTGTATAATGTCAATTAATTGCTTTTGAAATGTTGCCATCTTTTTGATCGGAAACATTTGGCCCCATTATACACCTCAGAAATGTGAATTTTATGCAGAGGAAGTAAAATAGCCACACCAAAAATTATTGTACTGTATATTTCTTGTCAGAACGCTACATTAGTGATGAGGTACAGCACGTTGTCATTAATTCCATTTTTGACTGGATTCCAAGCTGAGGCTGATCTAAAGAGAACAACCCCTCGAAACCTTATGTTTTCTTTTTCAGGATTTACTGCTTCTTGGAGCTACAGCCATTGAGGACCGCCTTCAAGCAGGTGTTCCAGAAACTATAGCAACTCTAATAAAAGCAGAAATCAAGATATGGATCCTGACAGGGGATAAACAAGAAACTGCTCTCAACATAGGTAGCAACCTTCTTTTTATTTTGGTCTGAATTTACCAAATACCAGAACTGTGAAGATATGTAGCAAATGTGCACTGTAGTACCTGGTGTTAATAATTAAAAGGCATCAGAAACCCCCATTTTATGGTAAGGGCTAATTGGATCTTAAGGTGCTGTCTAGCTTAATAAATGAAACAAGCATCCTAGTAGTTAAAGGAAATCGGGTTTATATAAAGAAGCGATAGCTTAGCACCCTATTTATGCTTTCTTAGGGAAAACATCTCTTCTCGAATCTGTGTGCAGCTCTTTGTGGAGAATGAATATCTGAACTGAGATGCACAGTCTAGATTTGATGCATTTTTGGCTCTTTGGACTTAATGGTGGATGTTTTTCATGACACATGATTATGTGCAGTGTTTTGATATTGAGCAAAAAGCACCTGACCTTAGATATGAATGCAAATTTCAGAGAAACTTTGGGAGATCATTGGAAGTGGTTTGAGTAGCTCAACTGAGATAAAGGTAAAACATCCAACAGGAGTGTGATTGTTATGTTACTCACTTAATTTCCTTTTCTAACATAGATAAAACCTGCAGTCATATAGTCCCCCATGAACTGAGCTGTATAAAATTGTGACTTCCTTCTGCCAGAAAATAAGATGCTTCCCTAGTAAACTCCTCTACTTTGCAATGGGCACAGGTTAGAAATAGGGTCTTCCACCCCGGTAATACCTGTGAATTTGACCAGGACTTTACCTTCTTCCTTTACCGCATTTTTATAAAGTGGGAAATGTGTAAACATTACAAAAGGTAAGTTAATTGGGAACTGCTAAGATGCTAGTGAGGATATAGAACCAATATGAAGGGGCCCAGATGTAACAGCTGGTTTGGGGTTTTTTTCATGTTTGTCCATGTTTTTGTGAGGAGCTCAGCATCTGAATGCTAAAGGTCTTTCAGAACTCTTGGGTTTCTACCATTTGATTCCTTTGAGTAATGCTTTAATTTGTCAGTTTTTCTTCCTTCTCCCCCTTCCTTCCCATCCTTTTTGTCATTTAAGGCTAAGTGCAGATGTTCAGTGGGGTTAGTGGGAGGTTAGATTGAGTTCAAAAAGGCCACCTGATCTAAGGTAAGTCAGGATGGGGGGGAGTTGGTGGGGACAAGAGGGCTTTGAGGGGGGGATTCAAGGGTCACTGGGCGGGGATTGGGGGAGCAGGTGGGATCTGCAGGAGTGATCAATGGGATTGGGGATGAAGGCAGTGTCTGCAGAGGAATGGGGTGGGGGGGGCAGGCAGCATCTGCAGGGAGGTTTCATAGTTTCATAGTTGG